CATTTTAAAGTTGTTCTGGTGCTTCTACTTTGTGGCAGCTCCACCTAGGGAGACTAACGGCTACCTACGAGTGCGCTGTAATGGTGGTCTCAATCAACAACGTACAGCGGTCCGTAACTTTCTCTTTTTCTGTATGATCTGTAATTGCATATTTTCACCCATGATCTTACGAGGGGAATATTTACCTTCTGTTACTCTCTTGGATGTTTTAGATATGTAATGCTGTTCTTGCAGCAAGAATCATGAATGCTACACTTGTGCTGCCTGAATTGGATGCAAACTCTTTTTGGCATGATGACAGGTATCTATTTTCAATGGTTGTCTGACCCTTATTTCACATATATAGATTTTTTTCACCTATTCAAATTTCACTTTTAATATAGAATTATTAAATTTTATTTTCTGATTGAGGCTATTAAACCAAGAGAGACGAGGTAGGGTAGATAGAATTGTGACAAACATGTAGCTACATGATAGATGTGTCACACAGAGGAATTGGAAGATGTTTTCAGATAGAACTTGTTGCTGTAAGACATTACTTCTCTTCTTCTTTCATCACATGTACTTAAAACCTACATAATAAGAGATTTCATTGGAAAGGCCTTCAATTTTCAAGTTTATTCATTAGCTGATCTAGGACGACTCTTCTCTTGGGGACTTGCTTAAGGGTTTCAATAGTTACAGACCAATCTTGAGTTTCTCTATTTAACAATTTTCTGATTTTGTTGACGCATGTGGATCCTCCGATTGAGGATTCTCTGAGTCTGCAATTTTTATACTTACAGGTTTAGTTAAGAATTAGGATAAGTAAGTTTAAGGAAGGTCAACTTTGTTGCTTTGGATATCTTTTTCTCATTGATAGGAAAGTAATATGTTAATAAAAACAACTGTGAGGAAAGTTACAGCTTTAAGATAACTGCATCAATGCATTTTTCTGTAGATCTTTTTGCATATTTTCATAGGAATATCTCCCTCCATATTTTAATTAATCTTATATTTGCTTCGGAAAACAAAGGAATTTGTTTTGTGGAACTTTGAGTAATGTGTCCACTGCTCTCGTTGATTAGTTGAATGCTTGTTTCTGTAAACTCTATAAAGTTTTAAATGCTTTTAACTGCAGCATGTTATCTTTAACATGTGCAGTGGTTTCCGCGGTATCTATGATGTTGAGCATTTTATCATGTCATTGAGGTATGATGTAAAAATTGTAGAAAAAATACCAGAAATTCGCAAAAATGGGAAGACAAAGAAGATAAAAGCTGTACAGGTAAAGCATATGTATTTGTTTTGATCACATTCAGAAATAAAATTTGAGTTGTTCAATAGGTTTGAAATATTTACTCCTTCCTCTAAACCTTGTCTCAGCTTCGCCCCCCTAGAGATGCTCCTATCAGTTGGTATACTACGGATGCTCTTGCGAAAATGAAGGAGCATGGTGCTATTTATCTTACTCCCTTTTCACATCGTTTGGCAGAAGAAATTGACAACCCTGAGTATCAACGGTTGAGGTGCAGAGTGAACTATCATGCTCTGAGATTTAAGACAAATATAATGAAGCTAAGTCAGTCAATAGTTGATAAGCTTCGCTCACAAGGTCACTTCATGTCCATACATCTTCGTTTTGAAATGGATATGCTGGCATTTGCTGGGTACGTTCTTATCTGATTATCTTTTCTAAATTCACGTTTGCATCTGCATGATGGTGGAGGGTCAGATGTAGAACAAATGGTTGACATCATTGCATATGGGGAAAAATCTGCTTAAAAGACAAGAATGTGATAGGAGTGAAAAATCCAACCAAACCTCACAGAGTCACATGGAGAAAGACACTTGTGTACAATGCATACATTGGGTTAAATTAAATCAAAGATTTGATGTGGAACAAGGAGAGAAATAAGGTAACTAATGCCGTAGTTTCAAGCATAACTAATGCCATGAGTGTCGTAGGATGTAGATCAGTGTGATACTAATTGATGTAGAACAAGGAGAGAAATAAGGTAAAATATAAACTCGGATAGTAATTTAACACAACAGCTTGAACTTAATTTGTTAACTTTAGTATCAATTGGTCAAAACTAAGATTCCCAGCACAAGTGTGGCCTGTCTATATAGTCTCTCTAATATGAGTTAATTTCTTGGTGAAATCCTTATATAAAATGAGGAATGACTGGACTGTTCTCCTTTATATCATGCCAAGAATTCTCCTATTTCATAGCCACTAGCTATGTAAGGGGTACAATCTGTTTGTTTCATGACTGGAATAGTTCATGATTAAGATTTTGAAAAGTAATGTTATCTGAAGACTTCTTAAAATCTGGTATGATTATTCTGCAGCTGTTTTGATATTTTCAACCCCAAAGAGCAAGATATTTTGAAGAAGTATCGGAAAGAAAATTTTGCACCAAAGAAGCTTGTGTATGAGGAAAGAAGAGCCATTGGAAAATGCCCATTAACTCCAGAAGAGGTAACATTATCTGTCTTGTTAATGTTTTTTTTATTTGTCGTTGGAAAGTGTTGTTTTATACTGCCGGTGAATGGTGACATTACCCTGGATGGCCGTTACCTTGCATCAGTATCTTGTTATGTTTTGCTTACCAGGTGATAACACTCATTTCCTATATAAAACACTAACAAAGTTATGTCCCTCTTTCTATGCAGGTTGGTCTTATTTTACGTGCAATGGGGTTTAACAATTCTACCAGGATATACCTAGCTGCTGGTGAACTATTTGGTGGAGAGAGATTCATGAAACCGTTCCGGGCTTTGTTCCCTCACCTTGAGAACCACAGTTCTGTAGATCCCGCAGACGAGCTAGCAGAAAATACCCAGGGATTGTTAGGGTCTGCGGTGGACTACATGGTTTGCCTCCTCTCTGATATTTTTATGCCTACATATGATGGCCCTAGCAACTTTGCCAACAATCTCCTTGGACACCGCCTATATTATGGCTTTCGGACCACAATTAGACCCGATAGGAAAGCTCTTGCTCCAATCTTCGTTGATCTAGAGAAGGGACGGACAACTGGTTTTGAAGAAGCTGTTAGGCAAGCCATGCTCAATACTAACCTTGGCGGGCCCCACAAGCGGATTCCGCCTGATTCTTTCTATACAAATTCTTGGCCCGAATGTTTCTGCCTAACATCTCCAAAGGATCCAGTGCATAAATGTCCACCAGATAATGTTTTGGAAATTCTTAACAGCCAGTTGGGTGAAGCCACTGATGACCTGGAATCCGTGCCCCAATCAAATTCAACAATATCTGTGGCAGAAAGATGAAAAAGTAATCTCAGGATTTATAGCGGGTGATTGTTCCACGCCAATACTGATGAATCCCTGTCCGTGTAATTGACAAGGAATGGCTTTCCATAATAATACTCTGCCTTCAGGTAATCATTATCTGTACTTCTGTTGTGTTTAATTTGTTTTTTAATAAAGAAATTTCCTTGCTTGTCCTCTTTCACAAACAATCCCATATTGTTTTATTCATCATTTGGATATTTATGGATATTTCGTGTTCCTTTTGATCATACAAGTTGATGGTTTTTCGGTGACTCTGGTCTTGTGGTGATTTGAGACAGGATCCATGTTGGGTATTGGGGGCAGGTTCATGTTATCTTGGGGTTCACGCCATGGTGATTCAGTATATCGAAAAAGAAGTTGACACTGCTGGAGGACGCATGAGCCAAGCCATGTTGATAGTTTCAGATTTGTTATGCTGTGATCTAAAAATTTACTTCTGATTAGTGATATTGTATTATATTTGATTGACTCCCTTATATGTTTCTGCCATGTCACATGCGTGACTAATCATATAAGATTTTCAGTCTTACCCTACAAAAATGCTACATTAAGTATTAAATTACTTGGTAAGCTCATTCTGGTTTTGATCCATTTTGAAAAGCTCTAGCTTTGACTTTTGAGTGAGCTCGTAAATGAACTGTAGCTTCATTACATGCATTTGATGTGCGATTTGAATCAAGGATTGGGAAAAATTAAAAATAAATTATCTGACCCTAGCCTCCAGTTTATTCTGTGTCTTCTGCAATATCAACATATATTTTACTTCATTTTACTCTTCCCCAGAAAATCAGTCTTGTTATTGAAAACATATATTTGCTATTGTTGCTGCCTGTTTGCATCGATGTGGTTTGTGTTCCTTTGGGCGTACCTGGTTTTTCGTGCTTTGTTAGCTCTCTCGGCCTGTGGCTGTTGGTGATTGCTACTCTTGTCTGGCCTCTCTTTTGGGTAGTTGTTGCTTAGGCCAGCTGGTCTTGTCAGTGGTTCTAATGCTGCCTGTTGTAGTTTTGTTGCTTTTCTTCTTGGATTTTATTTCCGCTTCTTAACGTTCAGCTTCCTTGTCCCGAGCCTATTCTCTTTGTTTTGTTCCTGGGTGTTGGTGTATTTTCTCAATATTTTGACATAATCCAAAACATAAGCTTTGTAAAACCTTTCAGTAATTAAATACTTAATTTTTGAGTGTTCCAGGTATTCACGTATTAAAATATGAGTGAGTGAACGACGAAATTCATGTCATGCACATATGATCAGAGTCGCACCAAAAAATTACTCCAGAATACCCTTCCCTGGTTCAAATTCAATTCCCTCGTAACAGGAGGAAAGATGGTACATTAGTACTTAAATAGTCTGCATTACATTTGAAAATTGCCCAGCTGTTAAAGCTGTCTATTTCTGTAAGAACGTAAAGTATCAGTAATGAACTAGCATGGTCTTTATTTTCTTCTACTTTCCTTTCTCTAATGAGATTCAGACAAGGCATCTCATGTTTTTATCAAATTCGTCTACTAGTTATTCTTATTCGCTTGTCATCCCCAATAATCTTTTGTTCTACCCATTATCCATATAGCCACATCAGAATCAAAGTCCTACTAGCTTGGCTACCAGTCATGTCCAAGCCTAACAATTCAATAGGTTGAAGGATTTATAGCCATATGAACAAATAAACAATGAGCAAAGTACAAACAGGGCCAAACTAAAACGAATTATATAAAATAATTAAATAACTGCAATCCATTTGTCAAACCAAGGAATCAACATGTACGACTAGTGTTCCGAAACAATAACCCTCAGTAAACAATTTCACCATTCCAGAATTGGTGGGAAAGCGAAATAAATAAAGGATGAAGTCTATTCTATCAAAGATAATCAATTCAAGGCATTAGTAGTTGTTACTCTAAGAGCATATACATCCAGTCATTTACAAACATGGACATTCGAATCACAAAATGGATAAAAATGAAAAAGGAATGACAGTGTAAGGTAAATTAGCCTGAGGATTGTACACGCAACTTGTTGGCAACATACAGCAGATGTCTGATGTTTGTTGGAGGATAGTTCTGCAGTAGTTTGAGATTAGAGGTAAAATCACCTGCTAGTAAGCGCCTCCGAATGAGAATCAACATTGCACAGCATACTCGAAGAAGGGTTTCCTACAATTGTTAGTCAGCTACGTCGTTAGCCTAAATACAAACAAACAAAAGACAAAGCCAAAAGCAAACCCGAAAGTGCAGAGCACTACTTTTCTGGACACAACAAAGGCAGGCTTAGTCCTCAGAACCTCAAACCATAGGCAAAAAATTCTATCTGAATTGAGTTGCATATTACCGACAATCTAAAGGGTGGTGTAACACACCCTGAAAGCAAAAGTAATGTAAAGTCAGAAAGAGTATAACACTACCTGAGGACCTTCTGGGTCACTTAAAAGTGTATCCCAAATGTGAAGGCTGTCTGCGAAATTGAATTCCTGGGTTAAGAGAAGGGTGATCCACCTAAATGCATAAAATTGGGGATTGACCTGACATTTTAAAGTAGAACCCAGTCAGACATTTATACCAAGTATTTTGTGACCTAAATAGTATTTTAAAAAGAATTGGCAAATCATGAATGCTAAGCTAATGAGAACTGCACGTAGAGATGTAAAATATACAGTGGTTAGCACAGGCAGGTTCCTGTTGTGCCCCTGCCTGCCTCAATTGGGCTTGTGTTGTACTAGGCCACATGTCCATTGAGTTTTCTATTTATTTATTTTTAAGATCAGATTGAGTTAAAATTGGGGCACATCAAAACATTTGGTTATTACAGTTTGCAAAAGCCAAACTTGAAGTCTAGTCTAGTGTGAATTTATAAAGATTTAATGAGTGTGCTACACTGCTACTCACATAATGCTCTCTCTCTCTCTTGTCATAATGTGACTTTTGTCTTCATTTGATTTATGATCTACACTTCTTTTGTCTGAATTTATAGTTAACATTGTTATCATTATTCGGACAAAATTTGTTTCAGAATATGTTTAACCAGGTTCTTTTTACTCACCATCATCAAAACTCAGTTCAATATTATTTTACAGTTCTTTTACTCAACCATCAGGATGTAATATGAAAAAAGATATATGTTAAAAATGTCTTACTTTGGTTGTGATCTCAAGATGACGCCATAGCTCTTCATCATGTTCCTTCAAAAGCTGTGACAATTTTGTTATAGTGGAACGAATTCCCACAACACTATTATCAAGTTGCTGACAGAAATGATCCCGGAAGCCACTCAATAATTCAACAAAACAAAAGAATGTGTCTGCTTCAGCAGAGGCCTACAAAACTTGACATTAGGAAACAATGAGCAAAATTAACCAATAACAATAAATAAAATGGCAGTGAAGAAGTGTTACGCACAAAAAGTATAATGACAATAAACTGATTTATATCACTGTGTCCATTACTGTTATCCCTTTTCATGAAACATTTTATTTTGTTATAGATAAAACATAGGCATTGCTGAATAGTTTTCGTAACAAATTGCTCTCAATTCTTTTTTCAGGTGACTTAAATTGTACCACTTGTGAGTTGTGATCAACATTTGCCCCTTCTTTTTCTGCATGTTACGATTAACACCCCTATTGGTCATAATTAAGCCTGCACATCCTAAGAAGCATGATCATATGGTGATATTGACCAGAAGAACATGCAATTCAAATAAAGTTAAGGACAATCAGAAAGTCAACATCAGCTCCCTAGTACAGCAGAGTACCTAAATTTTGAACCTCACATTCAGATAACAACATATAAGAACATCTTATGGTCCAAAGACAAACATCAAAATCTGAAGACAGCTTCTAGATTAAATTTTTATAGAAAAAGTTGAAATCGAATACAAAAAATATATGGCATTCTTACCGCATCTTCCTCATTTGGATCAGTCTTGAATACATAGAACAGTGGTGCCAAAATTTCGTTCATCCCTTGAACATATCTTATACCGGGATTTAGCTTGGCAAATACAATCAGGATGTTCTTCAAAGCATCCTGAAATTGTTATATACATTTAAGTCAGCCAAATTTCTAGTATTTGGCAAATCTTACAGATGGCTTGTACCATAGTTTGAACCAAGGGTCAAGCGCAAACCTGATTAGATTTAGCATCTGAAGAGTCCCCAGAGAAAAAGTGCAAATCTGGATGAGTACGCTTTACATCTCGGTCAATCTGCTCTATGATCTCTGTGTCCTACATGATCAAAAGTTTGAGTTAGATATTTCATAAGAAATTTTTGCGCCAGAAACTGCTACCACCATTCTATAATGGTACAACAGGACAAGGAACTAATATTTTCAAAGCGGAGAATTCTTCTCTTTAAGAGTGAAGATGTTGTATTGCATCACAACTGTGTCTTGTGTTTATCCGGCCGAAGGAGGGTCCCAGAGCAAAAAAGTAAATAAAAAATCATGGTACATCGGAACTAATTAGGTAAGGCATGACTTTTAAGGATGCATTGCGAAATATGATCTTCGATATATTCCAGTGGCAAAAGAAGAGTTAGTGTTGAACAGCAAAGTAGTTTGAAACAGGATTTATTTAGTTTATGGGGGTCCTCTTTTTATTATTATTTTTTCTCTTTAAAAAGATCTTAGTTGAGTTAAGGAAGAATTTAACAAAGCATCAACTATGGGCCTTAAATAAGTTAAGCAAGTAATTTCACCCAGTAACTACCTGGAAGAACTGATTCCAGACGCTGGACTGCCCAAGACTCAATGGATGCTCGCCATGAGTTATTTCTGATCTTGATAGCAACCCTTTGCCTTGACCTTTTGATTCATCAGTGTCACAATTTGTACAGTTATCCATCTTCCTTGTGATTTCTGACTGACTAGCCAAAGGAAACATTCAGAAACTCATACTTTAACAGAAGTTAAGAATTGCAAAAATGCACGAATCACATAAGCATATTGTGCCAACCTTTCATTTTTCATTTTATCTTCACTTTTCATTAAGACCCTACAAAGCTGGCTAAAGCTGTTGACCAACACGCAATATGAAACACTACAAGGAGAAGTGAAGATAACTGCATTGCTAAACTGGATGAAAAGGCTGGAACATCTACAGTAAAATTTTGTGGGTTACCCTCCGCTCAATTTTCAGGAATAAAAATCAATGAGCTATTCTTTCCCATAGAAAATGTCTGCTAACACTCTTTGCACTATCAGCATTACCAGCTGATCATTCAATGGCATCAATTTATTTGCTCTTCAAAATCTCCATCGATTTGAACAATTGTGACTAAAACTTGTAGCAAATTTTGAGAACAGCGTTAGCCCATTAAAGAAAATAGTTAGCAGAAGTCCTTCAAATCAAAACAAACTGTGCTGTTCTTATACCCTGTATAATTAGTCTAGTTTTTTCAGTTTCATCTTCAAATCCAAAACATGAACATAAAAATGGAAAGAGAAAACAATAAACATGACTTACAGGATTCATCAAAAGCTCATCTTTAAAATGCTTGTACTGTGACCTCTTTTTAGCTAACTCAGATGACCAAAGCCCCCGATCTGGTGGTAGATATCCAAGTAAAAGCTGCAAGCAATAATTATCAACGCTTAAAATTAAACCAAGTCCCTCAAATGCAACAAGAAAACTCAAAATTGCACACTTTATTCACACTGTCAAGCTTTATTGGCTAGTCTAGTAACTTTTGAGGCCCTCAAATTATCATTCCATCCATAATAAGCTAAAACTATTACCGCATTTTCTCTAGAAACAAACACAACATTAACACAAAATGAAATCAAATACAAAAACGAATCATAATCACCTTCCACACAGTAGAACGTATGCCGGCACCATCTGGTATGCCCTGCGACGCAATTCTACGCAAATCGCGCAAATTAATCGTCTTTCTTGATAGCTACAAACACAAAATTAAAAAATTAAAAAAAAAAAACCAGAATTCAACATCTCTACATGCACAGAGAGAGAGAGAGGGAGAGAGAAAAAGAAAATCTAACCTCGACCAAGAGCTGAGCCTGCCTGGAGATGTCTTCGGGGGAAGGAGTGGTGTTGTTCTTGTCTTCGTGATTAGGAAGTGAATCTGTGGATTGGGGCTGCGGAGGGGGCTTGTCTTCCCTGGTGGGTTTGGGAGGGGGCACGGGGATTGGTGGGTCAACCATGGACGGTGGCTCGTAGTCAGAGGTGGAAGAAGAACTGGTGATTGTGGTGGGCTTGGAGGTGTAGGGTTGAACGCGATCGTCGTCGAGAGAAGGAGAAGGCGTAGAAGACCAGAGCGAGCTGTTGAGCCATTCTGGGACTCGTTTCTTCACCATTTGAGGTGAGTGAAACATGAAATTCTAGAAATCGATTGAATTTCTAGGGTTCCTGTGTGTTTCTGAGCTGACGCAGTTTCTTCCTCTTCTTCTTCTTCTTTCTTAATTTCTCGCCACGAGTCTCCGAGCGGAAGACAGGCTTGACAGAGACGGAGAGAGATATTGATTGAGCTGAGGTGTGTGCTTTGACTTCTTGACGGACCAATCGTAAGATGCCGCGTTGCTGCAGGTAGTTTTCATGTTAATAAAAAGAGTTAAATACAGTTTTGTTGAGTTGAGTGTTTTATTTATTTATTTTCCTTAATTATAAACTTAATTAAACTCTAGGAGCATGATTGCAACTTTCTTAAATACATGTGTGACGTGTCTAAGTTAACTACTTGATGTGATTAACACACTTAAGACTGTTGTTGAAGAATGTTGTTTCTAATGCGATGATTAAACTCTAATTATAGATCACCATTTGGTTTAATGACATTAATCTCCACTCCGTCTGTTGAATGCCTGCATTTAAATAAAATAAAATAAAACTATAGATCTAGTTTGGCTTAACCAAGTTGGCTAGAGCAGTTGTGTTTCTCACTCTGTATTGGAGTTCGAATCCCCTCTATATAGTTTAGATTATATTAAAGTATAATATCGTTGGTATAAAAAATAAATAAATAAATAAAAACTCTAAATATGGGCTGTTCTTTATTCAATTTTTTTTAATATTTTTAATAACAGATGGGGAAGGGAGGTTTTTTAAACACTGAGACCACATGATTTGCAAGTCAAAGATCTTTTTTCTTGGCTAGACTTTGTTGTCTTTTTTTTCGAATTTCAATTAAGAATACAAAAGGAAAATGAGTTTTTTTAAAAAAAATATTTAAAAATTTAAATTTTATTTTATTTTTAATGCGGAGAATAGAAATTACAAAACAAAGCCTCTAGAAGACGGAGGCCAAAGATGTCAAAATAGAAAGGTGAGTCGATACCCAGATTGTTTCCTGAACTTACCTAAGCTTCTAAGTTGACCATTGATAAACATCGAGCAATCACTATATAAATAGGCACAGTACGTATATTTCAAATGAGGCAATCAAAATGCGAGCGAAAAAGAAAATTCTGTAAGTGCAGAAACAAAATGTAATTAGATGAACTAGCTAGAACAAGCTGCTAGCTAGCGGAGCCCATTAAACATGTCCACAATCCAAAGCGCTTGTGAGATGTCCGAAGAGTAATGATATCGTGTAATGGTTTCATCCTCTAAATTGAAATTGCTTATTTCAGTCGGCCAACGAAAATCCATGTAATATATGGAATTGGGTTGGCACTGAGGAAAGTTAGCCAAAACCGAGATACTACAATTTTCACTCAGGAACATAACCTCATCTCCAATACTTTTCATTTCAACATGCTGCACGGATCCATCCCTCTCATTGAACACCAACTTGTAAACCATGAATCTCTCTCCACTATCACAATGATCATCTTTCGGCAATCTTCGAACGTGCAACAAGTCTCCCTTGGTTGATTCCACGAGATAAGCTTCATCAGCCTCACTTTGGAACCGACGTTTTTCCTGGTTAAAATACTTTGTTTTCATTGACCACCTATTGATATCAACGGAAAGAATGTTTCCGCACTCTAAAACTGCAAGGACTAGACTTTTATGAAATATAGCATCCATAACACGCCGCGGTGTGAATAATTGAGTCCAATATTTTCTTCCTCCTTTGGTGAAAGCCAACGTAGAAAGACGTCTGCAAACTGCTACAACCATGTAACTGTCTGGATTCAATGTGGGATCCTCAGATAAGATAACCTTCGGGATGTGCTTCGGTATAAGCCCGTACTTTCGGAACTCATCCAAACCTTGACTCGCATACGTGTGGTGGTAACAGAAATCCAAGTGAGGGAGGCGAATGGGCGCCGCTGCTTTTCTGAAAGGGTTCACCAGAGTTATAGTCCATAGTTCTTGTTTGCGCAGTTCTAGTTGTTGGTTCCAAAAAAATTTCGATGTACGGACTATCAGTTGTTTTTCCAATACATCCATTGTGGCTAACCAACCATGGCCATGGCACGTACTAATCATGTTACAGGGCACTGATAACTCAATGTCGGAGGTTTCTCCTCCAGGAAAGCTGTACAGTTCCAGCTTTCCTTTGGATCCTGTTGCAGTTGGAACCAGGAGCATAGGAAGAAGCTCACGCTGCCAACGCTGCGTTAAGCGATTGTATTCTTTTGCAGCAACACGCCATTGCTTGCAAACGGCAGCAACCCGAATATGGTCAGTGGGATCCCGCAAGTTATCCAGAATTAAAAACTGAATGGGAAGACTTGCCCATTGATCTGACACTCGAGTGTCATTCTTATTATTCCTTAGTCTTGTGAGAGCGTATGAATATTGAACCCAAAACGGGTATAAATATTGAACCCAAAACGCGTATAAATATTGAACCCAAAACCAACCTGTCCAAGACATGGCTGGCTAGCAATCAAACCTGGACGACTTCAGCGCTAGTGAGGGTTTCTGCAAGTGTGTGTAATTGTGAGGTAGTAATTGTACAGAATTTGATAATGGGTACACGCCTTTATATACAGCACAAGCCCTTACTTTAGGCTAGAAGGAATAGGGTTCCTATATGATCAAGGAAAGCTACCAAGTCAATACCCAAATTGTCCGTGCCATCCATGTCTTCTTTCCTAATTTGTTGGCATGTGATCCTTGATTTAACGGCCCGTACGTTGTTAACTCATGTTAGAGAAAAGAAAAAAACATCAGAACATAGAAAGACCGACTCGTCTTCTTCGATTCATGGAGTCTGTTTCTGTTTTTAGGTTTTTGAAATCTTCCTCAAACATTTTTCTTATTCTATATGTTTGCCCTCCATATTTTGACTTGTAAAAGGCCAAAAAAAAAAAAAAAAACTTAACTTTTTACTATAATTGTTATTTTTCTTGGGTGCACATTGTAGTGTTGGCAAGGGTCCCCTTGGGTGCACTCAATACCATGAATGCCCCAATAATTGGAATATAATTTCCCTTTATGATGTATTTAACATTTGTTGACCTATTGTCAAGTATAACTCAGTTGGTTGAGCTCTTTCACCACCTCCACTTATGTCATGTGGGTAGATGTTCAAAAACTCGAGACGCCCAATTAATATTTGTGTGTAAAACCCCATCCCAATTGCTTGTACTCAAAAAGAAAAAAAAGGCAAAAGAAATAACAAACTTAAGCATGATTACAAAAGAAAGTATAGTTAATTTTAAGGTAAATGCTATGACATTCCGCCTCCCGAAATGGTCATGCATAAGTAGAGTGGGGAAACTATGGGCAACAGACTGACCTCAGCCAATTCAATAGCAATTTTTGTTTTCCACCTTTGCTCGAATTGGGGCAGATTAATACATAAGGATCAAATTCTTGTTCATATATAGCCTCTAGAAAATTCTACATACTAGTACGGCTTTAATCAGATTCATATGCACAAAGATAGACAGCATTTTTCTCAAAGTAATCATCGCAATCTGTACAACAATCAGAAAAAGAACCCTCACACCTGAAATTAGTATTATGGGAAGCAAGCGTATGTATTTCACCGTCGCCCTCGTCAAAACCTCTACATTCACTGACATCCAAAACCACAAGCTCCTTGCAGCCCTGTAGTAACATGACAAGATTATCCCGACCGATGTCTGCCCGCCTCAAGCTCAAGTGCTTAATATCAGGCACCAACTTGACAATTGCCAGTGCCTCAGCATTGCCAATATAGGCATTAGCCACATGCAAACGCCAAAACTTCTTGCAGTGAATGCTGATCTCTGAAAGGGTTTTCTTCAGATCAAGACTGCTCACCAAGGACAACTCCTCCAAATGTTTCCACTTTGCAATTAGTTGAGGAATTATTCTTGGTCTCTGGTGCACTAAATATATGGGCAAAGACAGAGCCGTCAGGCGAGGGCACCTGCAAACAATAGTTAAACCCTGCCATTTTAGGGTGACTTAACTGATATTATATGGATAAAGAAGATTGGATAGTTCTCAATCAAAAGTGGCCTTTAATTGCTGCTAAACTTATGATTTTTAAATGGGCAATCTTATTTGAAAAACTTGGCCAACCTTAAAATTTGATTCCCAATTTATGCAAAAAAGTCTCTACCATAATTAATATGTTGCATACTCTGACCACACATCAAATGAACCCGGCTTCTATGCATTTTAGTCCAACTTGATTATTGGGGAGGTTCATATTGCACTTGTCTAACTTGCACAGTAGAGGGTTTGAAATTGTTGTCGCCATGAGGATGCATATTTGGCGCAGAGTACGATTCCTCTTCGTTGCTAGGTGCACACAAATCAGCAACTATGTTTTCGACACTTTCAAAATTAACATCTTCAACCCAATCAGTCCAATTAAAACCATTCCCACCATTTTCAATTTCGTTGTCCCCAATTACCTCATTGGTATGTTCCATAAAAAATGCAGGAGGAGCATTGCTACTCTCAATGCTTACAATGCCATTGCACCCTTCAATACCATATCCTTCTATATTTTTCAGGGTTGCTAAAAGAGTGATTACTTTAGAGGCCATAACATATGTGTTGCACTTTAGAAAATATTGAATATCAACATTGTTTTCAACCCTTACATGCTTATAGACAGATGAGGATAGAGAAACAGAATATTTCAGAGTGACAATGTATTTGTTGGGATATGCTTTCATGATCTTATAAATGCAGTCAACAAGCTCGAGAAAGGTTATGTCCCATGTCACTATTATACCTTTAGCATCCTCACATTCATAACTCTGAATGTTATCCTTGTGAACCAAACTTCCGTTGTAGCATACCAAAATTCCAACAATATCCATTTATGCAAATAACATCAATAATTACTAGACAAATTAATAACATTGAACCACAAAAATTAAACCGAATAATAACATACACAACTACCATTCTACTACACGTGTCATCTTATCATTCCACAAATCTGATTCTACAAATTTTAGCTACTTGAAGAAGGTAATTTTATTACTTTTTCTATTTTATGTGATTTTCTATATATGTTTGTGAGTATTGTTTGTTGTGGGTTCCAAGTTCTTAACAAACTCACATAAACATACCGTGTAAGCAATATGATTCATCTAAGCTATAAGGGTTTTCAACAAATTTAAACACCTTCAACAAAGGATCAGGTTGTGATACAAAAGGTGTTATGCAGTATAAGATAAATCTCAATTACCAAATTGGAAACCAAAACACAAAAACTAAATTTCTTACCAAAACAAACTTAGAATGGCAATAAATTCCAATTCAAATACCTTAAATTCCACAGTTAAGCATCTAAATTGAAGCTAAAACTAACCTAACAAAACTATTTTTAGGCCAGAAAAAGTTAACATGTGATTTCTCTATTTGCTGTTATTTTAGCCAATATCAAGGACATTGCACTACATTCTACGAGCATTCAGTCAATTTTAAACAAAATTCAAGTTCACCAGAAAGATCCCACAGCAGATAATAACAAAAACTATGAATTTCACCATATCACAACTCATTCAAACTGAAAAATTAAACTTTTTTTGCCCATGTGTGAAGAAAAGGGGATGAGCGAATTTATAAGACACATACAGTACAAAAGAAATATTAGAACTCACAACTGTTAAAAACGACAACGGAGGTCACCACTATGGCTTCGCTGTGGAGTTGCGACAATCACTTTGATCTAGAGGTCCACAACGGAGGTCATGAGTTGTTCCGACTTTGCTACGATCAAATTGGGGTTCCAAATTTGAGGACAACTGGGTTATGACTATGGATGGGTAGAGAACTGGATTGCACAGTGGCGACATGGCTCGCGACCTGGAGTTCAGCCAAGATTTTGGAGACTGCGAAGATAGAGAAGAGAGGACTTGAGAGAAGTTCGCATTCAAAAAAGAGGTGGTAAAGGGTCAATAGATATGCTTTTATATGGAAAGGAATTAGCAATTTCGAGTCTCAAAGTGATTATATGAGAATAAGATTGTAAAGTGAACATTTGGGAATGAAAGTTGGGCAAAGTGATCATGTACGTATATTTCCCTAGATTATATGCAATGGCATGCATTGTAATTTCAGCAACTGTGCACACCCATTTTATTACGAGGGCTTTTTCATTTATTTATTATTTTTGAAGTATCGAGCTTGAATGTTTCTTTCATACGACGTAAAATTGTCAATGACTTAAATGTGCAACTACATGCGAACAAGGTCTAGCCCAGTTAAAAAAGGTCTTAACTTGCAAATGTCTCATATTCGAACTCTCATGGCATCTTGGTAGTGTGTGAGAAACTCCCCCTCCTTTTATAGTTTAAATTATTGCTTGTATTTAAATAAATTAAAAAAAGCATTTTATCACAAATGGTCCTTGAGGTTTACCAAATTATTACATTTGGTCCCTTATGTTTTTTTTTTTACATTATTGGTCCTTTATGTTACACATGACACATCAAAATTGTCCTGCCGTCAGATTCAGTCAAAAATTATGTTAGGTTGTTGATGTGGAATTTAAGTAGAGTCCACATATCCAATGAAATTGTGCCACGTGAATTAACTAAATAATAATTATTTTTAAATACTTTAAAATTCATAGAAATATTAGAAATGAAAAAGAAAAAAAATTAAAGGACTGCAACATTCCGCCTCCACCTCCCTCCGCCTCTACTCTCTCTCTCCATCCCTCTCTTTTTGCTCTCTCTCTCTCTCTCTCTCTCTCTCTCTTTTCCCTCTCTCTGCTTTCAGCCTTAAGCTTGGTACAGAGAACCCACCGCCATTGTTAGCATCCGATTGGGTCATAATGGCTGCGAGGAGGTGTTTGACAAAGAAGACACTCCACTTCTAGCCAGACCTCAAAAGTTCTCATCCCAATCTTTGAACCTTTGGGGTTGTTTCCTATTTCAACTGGGATTTCCCACGCTGATCCATTTAGCCCCTTTAAGCATTTTCGCTGATGTTGATCTTGGGGCTATGGGGGTTGTGATGGTGGAGGATCTAATAATTTTTCTGCAAAATAGGCTAGCTTCTACGTGCTTTTGGAGACTCCTCTGTTTTCTTATATGGTCTTGGTGTGGCTGTTTTCTTCAATGGCCTTGTGTGTGAGTTTCATTGCTTTGTTGTATGGATCATTTGGAGCTCTTGGTTGCTTTGTTTTGGTGAAAGGACCAAAGACATAATCACCGCCACTTTTGGGCAAAGCTTGGTGAGCACTCTGGTGCAGATGGATCTCTGTACCAAAGACATAATCAGCCACCATTATGACCCAATCGGATGCTAACAATGGCGGTGGGTTCTCTGTACCCAGGCATAAGGCGGGGAGAGAGAGAGACAGAGAGAGAGAGAGAGAGAGAGAGAGAGGCGGACAGTTGCTGATTGTCTTTTAATTATTTTTCTTTTTCATTTCTAAATTTCTAATTTTCTATGAATTTTAAACTATTTAAAAATAATAATTATTTAGTTAATCCATGTTACGTTTTTTCATTTGATATGTGGGTTCTACTTAAATTCCACATCAGCAATCTAGCACTAGCAGACTTTTTGACTGAATCTAATCGTAGGACAATTTTGATGTGTGAGGTGTACCATAAAAGACCAATAACTAAAGATGATAATTTGACAAATCTCAGGAAACATTTGTGATTAAAACCCTAACAAAGAAAGTGCAACCACAGGGATGGAGGGAAATTAAACTACACTTCAAATTAGGAGTAATTTTCCAATGTGATCAAATTCACACACGGATGGAGGAAATTAAAGTAGAGGTTATAATTAATCAGAGTCAAAATTCGAAAATTTAGATTTCAAAGTAAAATTACAACGATCAGTTTCAATGGACGCAAAAAATGAGACACTGCGAGAGCATACTACTACTCTGTTTTAATCAGATTCATATCCAAAAAAATAGACAGGATTTCGATCAAGGTTATCATCGGAATCAGAAGAATATTTAGAAGAGGAACCCTCACACCTGAAATTAGTAATATGAGAAGCAAGCTTGTATATTTCATCATCGCCCTCGTCAAAACCTCTACAATCACTGACATCCAAAGCCACAAGCTCCTTGCAGCCCTGTAGTATTGTGACAAGATTATCCCGTTCAATGTCTGCCTGCCTCAAGCTCAAGTGCTTAATATTAGGCACCAACTTGACGATTGCCAATGCCTCAGCATTACATATATAGGCATTACCCACATGTAAACGCCAAAATTTCTTGCAGTGAATGCCGATCTCTGACAGAGTTTTCTCAATACCAATGCTGCTCCCCAAGAACAATTCCTCCAAATCTTTCCACTTTCCAGTTAGTTCAGCAATCATTTTGTCAACGTACAGAGCCTTCAGGCGAGGACACCTGCAAACAATAGTTTAACCCTGTCATTTTAGGGTGACTGAAAAAATATTAAAGAGATAAAGAACATGATTAAAAACCTACATCAGAAGAAACTCTTAAAAGTCAAAATACATAAAGCTAAAACCCAAAAAAATGCACTACTGATACACATTCAAATACTTTTGAAAAAGCTTACACATCTGCAACATATTTCATTGCTTCCAAGGAACAAAATCCAGGTAGCCTGACAACAGTAGCTTGCCCTCTGCTACGATTGACAACCACCTTTAGAAATGCAGTGACAGAGAAACGATCCTCATCAATTCGATATATACATCGAAACCTATCCATAAAGGTTCCAAGTTCACCCTCAGAACTCCAAAGATCGAGAGTTGGAAGGTCAAAGCCATCAAAAACACCAGGAAAAATGAGACATTCCCAGCATGAAGGACTCAGGGATGCTGTGTACCATGACTTGCACACAAAGGGAACATCCAAGAGTAGTGACTGCATCCCTACTCTTCCAAAAACATTCACCAAACAGTCCACATTTAAGTCCTCCCATCTTCGTTCATTCTCCATCTACAAGAAAGGACATGATATCAAATCATTAATGGGAAATAAAAACACCCAAATTATTAAGAAAACTAATGAACCGAAGATGGAATGAGAATCAGCTCACCTTAAATGTGAGATAAAGGCAATGAAAAGCGAAAGGATCGGCAATGACAAGCCATATTTACCAAAAACAAAAAGAAACGCAAAAACAAGCAGGATAACAAAAACTTGGGTTTGTTAGAAATGAAAAAGTGCAATTAATGTACAATAACTTGTATTTTGTAGTTAACATATATAGGACCAAAGGTAAAACTGACCTTTGCCTCCCAAAAGGAAGATTGATCTAGCAAATGTTTCTGGTGATAATCTATAAATTTCATTGGTCAAAGTGAGTAAACTATCAAGTAGGGAAACAATCAACGCCCAATTCAAAATAACTGGTCCAATAATATTTGGGATCGCCAGCAGACTTAACTGAGTGAGCCAATTCAAAAACAATTTTTTCTTCTTATCTTTCCTGAATATTGGGGCAGATTGAACTTCCAAACCACCCTCAACAAAATTTCACCCCATTTTTTAAAATTTAATTTCTCCATCTAAAGTCCTGATTCATCAATCAAAAAGGAATTTCATCTGGGAAAAACATTTTATCTGAAAACAAACAACTACATACATCTTTTCTTTAAAAAAAAAAAAAAAAAAAAAAAAACAGGGGAAAAAAAAAAAAAGTAATGTGACAGGTGCAAAAAACTCAGAACTGTTCAATGAAACAGAACAGTAACGATTGCTAAACAGAAAGCATATTTAAACGACGATAAGGAGCAGCAATAAGTAACGAGAGAAGAAACTTACTTGGGTCTTGCTTGCTCCGAGAGAGTGGCTGAACCAAACTAATTTCACAAGAAAGAAAAGTAGAAATTTGAAACCCAATTTGAAGAGAATGAAGAGAATGGGGCGGTACTTAACTGTAGAGGATTCATGGGCCAAAACCCAATTTGAAATTTGTTTGGTATGGGCTAATCTCGGCTAAAGCCCAAGCTTTCCAAACATGTGGGTATGGCTCTCTAGATTCGGCAAGGGTTTTGCATTGTTTCTATGGAGAAATGTCGGTTTTCTATAACTGTTGTATATTGTTGGCCTTATAAGTTCACAGATTATGGTAAGCTTCACATTATTATTCGAAAATTTATGCGCATGCCACAGGAAGTTACCATAGCATAATGTTTCTCACAAATTTTCTTACATGGAAAACACCCAATAGGACCCCAAAATACAGCACAATCATCGAATATATATATAAAAGTTTGATACAGAAGCAAGCAGTGTTCTTTGTATTAAAAGTTGAAACGAACGCCCCAAGTCCCAACTTTCAGAGCAAATAGAACAAAACAACCTATAAATGAACAATTCTGCACCATGATCAATCAGAACTGCCTCCACCACAGTAGTACCCATCAGAGGAATAATACCCATCAGAGCCAGCATACTCATCATCTTCATAATCATCATCAGAATCATAATAATCCTGGGAATCAGAATCATAATCATAGTAGAGTCTAGGTCTAGAACCCAGACAGCTGAAACTAGTAATATGAGAAGCAAGCTTTGATATTTCCTCGTCTTCCTCATCAAAACCTATACAACCGCTAACATCCAAACACACAAGCTTCTTACAGCCCCGTAAGATTGTTATAAGACTGCCCCGAGGAATTCTTGCCCGTCTCAAGCTTAAGTGCTCAATATTAGGCACCAATTTGACGATCGACAACGCCGCATCTTCACCTACTGAAGCACCATGTATATCTAAACGACGAAAGTTCTTGCAGTGAAGGCTGATTGGTGAAAGGAGTTCAGCAATATTTATGCGACTTTTCAATGACAATGACTCCAAATTTTCCCACTTTTCAATCAGTTCTATAATCATGGTACGTTGCAGAAACACTACTTCACTAGGCAAACACAAAGCCTTGAGGCCAGGACACCTGCCAACAATATAAAAATAAACTCAGAAACATCACTCTTGTACCAAATTAACTTGTGTAGTTTGAAATCAAGAAAAATATAAACCACAGAACCAAAAATATGCACTAATATTGAAACACATTGTAAAACTTTTTGAGAAAGCTTACACATCTGCAACATATTTGAATGCTTCGAGGGTACAGCATCCAGGTAGCCTGAGAAAAGTAGCATGCCCTTTGCTGCGATGGATGACGAGCTTCATAAATCCGGCGACAGTGAAACGCATCTTATCGATTCTATATTCATCTACAAATCTGTTCACAAAGCAACTGTCGTTTTCAACCCAAGTATAGTAGTACTTGGGTAAAATTTCCGTGAAGTCGAGACTTAGCCAGCAGCAAGGACTGAGACTCGCTTTGTACCATGACTTGCACACAAAAGGGATATTCAGGAGCAGTGACTCCATACCAACCTTTTCAAAAACAGTTGCCAAACAGTCCATGTCTAACTCCTCCCATCTTACTAGACGATTCTCCATTTACAATAAGTAATGAAATGCAGAGAAATAGTTTGACTCCATATACCACATTTATACGGTCAGGATAACACAATTTTTGACACATATTTTAAGACACATTCCTAAGCCATTAGATTGAGCCACTTTCAATGGCTGTGATTGAATTTTATATTGAGTGAGTATTGCATTTAAAAAGTTAATCAATATGGGGAAAAGCACTAATAAAAAGTTAATCAATATGGGGAAATGCAAGGACTCAAACCACGCATGCGTGCAATATATCCAAGAGATGAGAGAAAGGCAACATGAGTATAATACAAATGGAATTCCCAGATAATTAATAACAAGAAGGACTAATAAAACCTTCGTGCTTCCCTCATTTCCCAAGAGAGAGGATACTAATATGCAACGTTCAGCTTTCTCGGTCTGGAAAGTGCATTGTTGGAACTCGGTTGGAATGCCAACCATCGAATAGAAACATTAAACTAAATAATAAATTAAGCTTAGACAATAAAATTTATTTTAAATCACCTACAACCCTTTTTTTTTATATATATTTAAAATACTTAATTTTTTCAAATAATATCCGATGATTCTGATCCAATTAAGCAAGTTAGCTAATATAACTTAACATTTGATTTATTGTATTTTTTGAATTCCAAAACTACCCCAATTTATAAGTTAATTTGTTATTTTGAAAGGGGGGGGGGGGGGGGGAACACAATCCGAACATGTAAATTTTTACAGATACACAATTTTAATGGATATAGGAATTAATTTAGAAACTTATTTGAAATTAAATATTAAATTCAACATTAACGTATTAGTAATCCTCTTATGAATTATACGACTAGTAATCTATTTTATTGTAGTTTTTACGAATAATAGTGTACATTCTAATTATGTTGAAAAATAATTTGATAATCTATTTATTGTTTTTTTAGAATTTTTTTTAAATGAACCTATTTTTTCTCTAAATAATGCACCTATTTTTTTTCTCTAAATAATGTACATTTTTTTCTCTAAATAAAGCACCTATTACTTGTTTTATGAAAAATAATTTGATCATCTTTTTATTGTTAGTTTTATGAAAACAATTTTCTTTAAAATGAACCTTATTTTTTTCTCTAAATAATTTAGCTATTTCTCTAATAATGTATACCTAGTAAAACAATTTACCTTGTATAATGAACTTATTTTCTTCTAAATAATGTACCTATTTTTAATTTATAAAAAAATGTGCATAAATTCAATTATACAGTGTACCTATTTTTTTTTTTAAATTATTGTGTACCTATTTTTAATTTATAAAAAAAGGCACGGAAATTTCAATTAAAAAGTAACTGACTTAGTTTTTATTTTTATTTTTTTATACCTATATTTTTATAGTTGTATATTTATATTTATATTTTTCATATGTACATTATTAGATATGTAATTTACAATTTTTTGTTTGTTTGTAATTTTAGGGGGTGATATGTTAGAGGTATAAAATAAGATGAAAATAAGATGAATAAATTGATAAATACAACGCCACCATGAATTGGCTTAAATAGAAAACAAAGAAACTCTAGAACCATAGGAGACCCTAGGTTCTAGAATATTCCTAAACTTAGCTAACAAGAAAATAATAAAAATCATATTAGTAAAATAATATCCTAATAGATAACTTATTCTTCAAAATATAAAATAAAACATTAAATTAAATACAAATCTTGACTGAATCATAATTGCTTCAAACTTCCTTAATCAATTAGAAAATCTCGCCGATATGCTTTCTTTCTTTTCATAGCGCCATAATTGACATTTAGTTGGAATTTTCCTCTCTTGCACTATTTCCTTCCAACTTTGAGCCACTTTATTCTAATTAATTTTTCACACCATAATTGACCCACATATTTTGTCATGCATCAAACCCTTACACCTAAAATTAGAAATATGAGAAGCAAACATTGATATTTCATGGTCACCCTCATCAAAACCAGTACCACTGACATCCAAAAACACAAGCTCCCTACATCCCTGCAGTAATGTGATGAGATCACACCGACGAATGATTGCCCTCCTCAAGCTTAAGTATTCAATATTAGGTACGAACTTGACAATCGACAATACCTCATCTTTACATAATGAAGCATGAAAGACGTCTAACCTACGAAAGTTCTTGCAGTGAAGGCTGATCTGTGAAAGAATTTCAGTAATATCTGTGCTGTCTCCCAAAGACAATGACTCCAAATGTTTCAACTTTTCAGTCAGTTCCATAATTATGCTTGATTGCCGTAACACGAAATTTCTAGGCAAAGACAAAGCCTTGAGGCTAGGACACCTGCAAACAGCAGTTCATCATAAATATTGAATAGTATAAATTGAAGTACATGCCAAAGGGAAAACAAAAATAAAAATACACATCAAGCAAAACAAACCATTGAAATGCCAATAATTAAAATAAAATAAAATAACTTACGTATTTGCGACTAATCTCAGTAGTCTGTTTGAACATTCAGGTAGGCTCAGAGAAGTAGCATTTCCACGGCTACGACTAACAACAAGCTTTACAAAACCAGTCATGGAGAAACGGTACTTACTAATTCGATACTGACGTATGAATTTTCTATAAAAGGGAGTAGCGATCCAATATTGATTTTTTGCGAAATAAGAAAACCGAGCAACCATAAAACCATCATGAAAGTCCGGTAATATGAGACATTGCCAGAATGAAGGATCGAGGCTTGCTTTGTACCATGACTTGCACACAAAAGGGACATCCAAAAGCAGCGACTCCATTCCAACTCTTCCCAACACAATCAACAAACAGTCCACGTCTAAGTCCTCCCATCTTCTTTGATCCATCTACAACAAATCAAAACATAAATATTAGTCCAGCTATAAATATGATGAGGACATCTATGTCGAACCCATTAGGGTTTACAAAAGAAAGAGATGGAAGAGGAAGTCATTTAATTTGGTCTTTAAATCTGGCAATTCTTATTCTTGCGATTAGTTTCTAACTTGTTCTCTAAGTTTACCACATTTTAGGAAGATTTTTAAGTTTTCCAGATTTTAATAGGATTTCTAAGTTTCCTATTTTATTTAGGTTAGAATTTATGTTTTAGCAATGAAATTTTTATCCTATTATCTCTAGGTTCTCACGTAATTCATTATGGAGTTGAGTTGTTGAGATATAAGAGAAGTTTATTTTCCAGAGATTGGGGACTACTTAGTTGAAGCGAAATGCCTTGGAGTGATTCCAAACCTATCTATTTTGTTTTATTTTCTATTTTCCATTGTTTTCGCTTCCGCTAAATTACCCAAATACTCAATTCACCCATATCCTACATCAAAATATATCAACACAGAACTAGATACATACATAAGCAAAATGCAAAAACCACAAAGAAGTATTAAACATCAGTAGAAAAAAACTAATAATCTAAATTAAGAGAGAGCTAAGAAAGAATCACCGCAAAACCACAGATAAGGCAATGAAATAAGAAGCGACTGCAAACCATATTGACTACATATAAATAGAACACTTACCTTTTGGCTTGTCATAGAAGTTGTGGAAATATCAAGAACATATACAAGAGCTCTTCTTCTCAATCTGATCTCTCTAATTCTAGATGGGGTGAATACTTTAGTGTAGGTCGCGTACTTTTGGTTGAGCAGGAGCTCTTGTATTTATATGCATCTGTCTAGAAAGTCTTACCCATCAGGAAACTCTTTAGCTGTCCTTATTACATTAATGAAACCTTAATCCACAAGAAAATTCCCAATCCTTATATGATTAGGAAAGCACATTGAGTGGTACAAGACAATACAGCGACAGCGCAAACCATGCTAACCCTTTGTGGGAAATTATTTTAATACATGCCTAATTAACTTTTACCCTTCCCGAGTTACTGTATTCAAATGTAGGAGAAAAGCTATAATGGCTCTTGTGCCTCCCGATTGACTTCCATTAATAATACCGGTAATGTTCATAATAAATAATACCCATTCGTTTCTTCATTAAATAAAAAAAAAAAAATTACCGAATTGTTTTACCAAATATGGATTATCAAAAAAGAATGTTCATGGCTTTATCAAATTGACAGAAAATACTATTTATATAAAGAAATATCAAAATAAAGTATATATAGCGGTAACCATTTTGGCAATTTCAAAAATCAAAATGCAGGAAATAATATTACAAGCACGTTCACTAATTAAAATTCAGTTAATTAGAATTATATCCATCGTTCACCATTTCGTCACAACTGTTTCCCGAGTCATCATCAAAAGCATAATCACAAGAGCCCTTAAAGCAGAAATTACCAATGTGAAATCTCCAAATCATCCGGACTAAAACCTATACAATCACTGCCTTCCAGCAGCAGAAGCTTTTTGCAGCGCAGCAGTAACGCCATAAGATCATCCCGACCAATTTCCACCCTCCTAAAGATCAACTGTTTAATCTTAGGCAGGAAGTTAACGATTGCCATTCCCTCTCCAGTACAAAAAACATCATTAGACACACATAAGCCACAAAAATCCTTGCAGTGAATGCTGATCTGTGAGAGGATTTCTTCGAAATCATCGCCGCTTTCCAACATTAACCACTCCAAATGTTTCCACTTACCAATCAGCTTTGGGATTACATGTGGTTCGTCCCCATGAAATGCCACAACCTTGAGATCACCACACCTGCAAACAAAATTTTACAATGACTCAGTTATATGGTGGATACATTTGAAAAGGAAAATTAACAAAATCCTCAAGAAGAAACTTAACACATTCGAAAAATATTTCAACTCTGCTTTTGAAGCAGATGGAGGTAGGCTGAGAACAGAAGTCCTTTGCTACGACTGACGACAAACTTAATAAACGCACTAGTCGAAAACTTCCACTCTTCAATTTGATATACATTGACAAATCTTCCCAAACAGAAGTCGTTGGGAAAAATGAGACGTTGCCAGCAACAAGGATCGAAACTTGCTTTGTACCAT